TGTATGCTTGCTATACCTTTCTAAAAAATTAGTTTAAAATTTAAATTTTTAGACTTTCTTAGTTGCTTTATCTTATTTTATCATGCAATAATACTTTATCATAAAAGCACTATATTGTTAAAAAAAGATCGTATTCGGCAGTCTTATTAACGTCATGTCAAGTCTTACGAGTTTATCTCCTTTTAACATAACAATCTATTTTATAGTATTTTCTAACGGCATTTGGCGATGCTTTTTAACTTCTTCCTTCAATAACGCAATTGTTTCTTCTAATTCTTGAATCGTATTATTTTTATCGTGAAGATCTTTTTCTAAACCTACAACCGTATTTTTCAATTCAGTTATTAACATATCTTTATCATCCTTTAAATCCTGCAGAAGTTGATTTGTCGATGGCCGTTCAGCGGGATCTTCTTGTATCATTTGCGTGATTATTTGTGCCTAAACGACCAAAGTTTATTAAAATGTACCTAAATATAACATAAAATGTTTTAAAACTTACCCATTTACGTCGCTCTTTGGTAAGAGTTTCTATGTTACCACATTTTAAGCAGCTAATTATAGAACTCAATTCCATCAGAGTTTGTGTTGGAATTGAAAGCTCCGTGAGGACAATTCCTACACTGTAGACATCACTCTGCAAGTAAAAAAATTTTTAATTAAAATGTAAATATATTGAAATATATTTTTATACTTATCAAAAAATTTTTTTCTTTTTTCTCTTCTAATTACCTTTGGATCACACATTCCCTGCAGTTGTTCTGGTGCTGCATACATATGAGTACCAATTATAGAGTGATGGTTTTTTCGTTGTGGACAAGCTAAACCGAAATCGCCTAGTTGAATTTGAAGTTGACCAGATGTCGAAATAAATATATTACTCGGCTGTAACATAAAATGTATGTCATATTTCAGAAAAGTGCATTATTCTACAAACATTAATATGTAAATATTTACTTTTATATCATGATGTACGATTTTTTGAGAGTGAATATAATCAATTCCAAGAAGAATTTGTTGCAACACCGCTCTAATTATTGCATGGGGTGTTGTATTTATTCTACAGCGCATCCACTCTTCAAGTGTTTGTTCGCACAGGGCCATTTGGATGTACAAAGTTATGTACTGTCCATTCTATATACAATACAAAACCAATATGAAGATGTGTGTATGTGTGCGTGTGTGTAAATACATTGTAGAACATATAATTTTTATTTAAACGTCTTACATGATTTGTATTGGCTTAATAATGTATAAGCAATTGATTTCATATTTGTTAATCAACAAATCATCCTACTCACCCCATTGGAGGTGCCTCCATTATATGCGCATAGTTCTTGATGACCGTTGGACTCTTCATAGGAACTACTACGATCCTCTTCAGGAGAATCAGTATTATCTTCAATTGTTATATCTAAATTTTCATTATTTTCACTATTTCTAAAAGATACTACGTCTGAATCAGTTTCTTCGCTATCTTTTTGTGTACTTTCCTTATTTATTCGTTTTCCTATAATATTAGTTGATGAATTGAGCTCGTCAAATCTTTCATTAACATCAAAACTAGTGGCTATAAGGTCACGAACACTGCTATCCACCTCACTTTGCTGTTCGATTTCCGCGTTGATATACATACCGACTGTGTGATTTTCTTTATCAAATAATATATCTTGCCTGTCACTGTATCTGTTACTATGTGAATCTTTAATAGATTGTGAATTGCACGATTTGGACTCTTGCGTGCAATTTGACGCACGTGATTTATATGAGCTGCGATTTGTGGACGGTACATTCGAAACAAATAATGGCAGGAATGTCGTTTCAATCCAAGCTGCTTTGTAAGGTACAATATTGGGATGATTTAATTTAGCCAATGTTTTCACTTCATTTAAATACTGCTCTATGGTCTCCATACACTTAGAGGATACCATTATTTTTTTTATTGCATATTCAGTACCATCGAGACGATGCAACGCTCTAAAAACTTTACCGAAACCTCCGCCAGCAATAAAATTCAATTCGCGAAATTCCCGATGATAACGGGATAATTCCGACACTAGGGCTCTGCGAATAAAAATAATATTTTAATGTTGTTACAATGTTATATGTACAAAAATTTGTAACAAACACGCTACAATACCTGGGTATTTGCAATGTACTTTCACTTCCAGTTACATTGCGTGCGATTGTGACAAGACGGTAAAGGGCACGTTGATAATGTCCCCTTACTACATCCAATTCCATCATATTATAGGAATCATCAATTAATTGTGATTCGTGCAGTTTATCACAGATAGCTGTTGGTATAAATATATTAAATATATTCAATATATTATTAATTATAATTATATTATTAATATATAAATATATTTTTGATATTTTAATATATTCTTAAGAGATATTTCAATAAATATATCACAATAAATATATCAATTTATATAAATATTTCTATAATATAGTTCTACAATAATAAGTAATGAAACAAACTCTCATAGATTACCATAGTATAATTTATTTCTGCGTATTTTATCAGACTCAAATATGGTACACAATTGTTGTATGAGTGATCCTATTAAAACACTAGAAGGAGCACATCGTTGTGCAATTTGTCCACTGGTCTCAGTTTTACTAATATTATTTAGACAAAGCGTTGATATAGTGTTATTACCGAATCCTATATAAGATCAAGAGTAATTTTCAAATTGTAGCTTCTTTCTTTATATTCTATTCTATTCTATTTTTACAAAATTATAAAGATTTTTCTATATGTAACATTTGACCGATTAATATATTTTCAACATGGAGAAATAATCTAAAACTTTACAAGATATTGTGGAGATAATCTCAGTTTTTAAATTTTATTTCATTGTTATTTATCAAATCTATAGACAACTCTCCTTCTTTGCTTTGCAATCGATCAAATGTACTGAAAACAATCTAATCTAGGGACCCAAACGTTTGCTACTTTAATATAATTCACTGAAATATTCTAAGCACAATTTTAAGCACAAACAACATGCATAGTTCTTTATCCTATTCTTATAATATCATTTGTTTTAAAGCTTTTTGGTCCATACTAATCTTTAATATATGAGACATTGATTTTGAAAGTGGTGTAAGTCCAATTAAAAAAAAATCGATATATTTTTGAATAAACTAAAAAATATATTTAATATTTTGTGGACATAAAAAAGTGAACTTACATTTTAAAAGTAAATGGCTCATATATGATGCAACAATGCAAAATAAAAAATATAATAGAAAAATTTAATACAATGTATTAATATACAATGTAATATAATGTATAAATTTAATACAATGTATTATAAACGCATGTTTATAATACATAGACGTGTTTAAAAGATCTTTTTGTTTTTAATGTTCAAACGAATTATTCGCTTTAGAAAAGGTTTTGTTTCAAAAACATCGAACATTATTAATATATTGTGCAATCCTTTCTTCTCTAAAAATGTGTTTTTTGTATTTTCGCAGAAAAATAAACATTTTAAAATACTTTCTAAAGAGAATAATTTAAATATAAGCATGTGTATTAAAGAATGTTATTCACAGATGGTTCAAAAAAGGCGCGAGACATGATATTGATGTGAGGTTACCTTCGTCAAATGTTGTTACAGTTGATAGAGAGTTCCAAGGATGATTCTCCTCCTCCATATTTTCTGTTTTTTCGCAATCGATAGATTCCAAATTTTCTTTTCTGTGTACTTGTTCCATGTCGGTCCATGCGAGACCAGACTACTTGACAGCTCGATGACTTTTCTCAAACTGTAAGATTGGTTGCTATTACCTTCATACATATTCTACCGACCTCTTCCGAAATTTTCTCTCGGCCACCCCACCTGTATAATACAGTTTTAGGCACAAGAGCAGTCATTAAAAGTCGCGAACACCGATTCAAAGCAACCCGCGACTCCTCGAATCTTAGCATTATATGAAATACAAAGCAGGTTCGAACACCCGAGAACATTCTGGAAGTTTCTTTCATCAGATACTAATCTAGTATAATGTGGTGTAAAATTTGTTGAATAAAGATGCGTTCATCAACTTTAGTCTAATTGTTGATCTCGGTAAATTCTATTCTCGAATTCTAAAGATCTATTTCAACAAATTTGCGCAAAACAAAATAATATTTTATTTCGTACTTTTCAAATCAAAACTTATCCATGATTGATATTAGCTTCTTGACAATATTGACGATGATAACTCGTAAGCATATATGAATTCGAAATGGTTTGAAAAGAGAAAATATGTATAGATGGCAACTTTAAGGTGCCTTTTCACGCTGAGTTATTCTGTTTGAATGTTTTGTCAATTTCATCTAAGGTCTGTTCTTTTTAGATGAACTAGCTGCACTAGTTCAGAGTTTATCTTTTTTCCTCCACATTGGAGGGATTCAAGAAAAAATATGTAATTTGCAACATGCAACTGCATACTTTTTTTTAAAACCAATGTGTTTTTTTTATATACCAATTCATTTGTCTCATTATTTTGTGCATAAAAGTATTAAGCATTGAGTAAAAAGAAACAGGAGGGAGCGTTTGGTCTTAAAAGTGCGGACGGAAGTGACTATATAAAGTGGTCGCTCAAGATGGCCGCTCAAGAGCGCCAATATTGAATGACTTGTTATGTTTAATTAGGAAATAATAGTACAATTAAAAAGAAAATAACTATAATATGCAACAATAATACCAAATTTTAATGGCGTTTTTCATTGGGATTGCACTCGTGCAGTATTTCCATAAGAGCAATGTTAAAATCTAAAATCTAAATTTATATTAAATCCTTCGTCTTTACAAAAATTTATCCATGCATTTCTTTGATCCGGATTTTTCGGAAACCTGTTTGTGAGTGAAAATTATTTAGTAATTATTGTGAATCTACAATTTCACAATACTATACATATAATTATAATCTCCAAAATAAAAATCTCATTATTGTTGATAATACTAACCGATGAAACGTTATTCCATGATTTCGAGCTGCTGCTGTTATGCCACAAGCTCTACAGTATACCATTTTGATCGTTTATTTCCATACACTGTTGCATAAAAGACTATACACTGCATATTAATGCGTACAGCGTACGGTATGCCGCTTGCCGCTATGCTCGAGCATTCCCTCTCACTTTCAAAAAGTGGTCGCTCAAGAT